AGTTACACAACTTGCTTATCAACGAAGTAAAAAAAGGCGTGAAATTACATATGAAAATCACTTGGCAAAATGATCGGCACTATATGTAACACCATTTGCTACTCAAAATTGGAGAAATGCGCTGCGATTGTTATTGAGGGATATTCATTACTTTTGTTAGTCGCGATTTTCTCACGATAAAAATTGTACAATCAATCACGTGCGATTTTTCGGACGTAAAAATAGATCGGTATTTTTCTTCTGCAAAATTTATTATATTCTTTTTTTTGAAAAATTTTACAAAGACCCGATCCTTATTTATCGAGCATAGACGTTTCCTGGTAAAATTAGTTACTACACTTTTTCATTTTTTTCGAAACAGCGATTTTCATAATTATATTATTTTATTAAAAATTTGTCTTCTGGTAAAAGCAAAATAAAATAAACAAGGTAAATATTTTGCTTACAAGTTTATATTCGTTTGAACGTTTAGATAAATAAATTTTGTTCACTTAACTAACTTTAGGACGATGGTATCGCAAATTTCTTGCTGGCAAGTTCCTTCTCCAACCTGGGGCAAAGATTCATTTGATAACCTCAGAGATTTTTGTCAACCTCCACCACCTGGAGTTGATTTTGCTTACCAAAAATGCAATGTATCAACAAATTTACCATCTTATAATATTTTTGAATCTTTTATACATATTCCTCAGCCACCACATGAAACATCCTCTACTCATACTTCCCATACGAAGACTTCGTATACAGATCATTCGATAATTTCAAGGAGGTTTGTTTTAAAGAAAAATCATGATTTTTACATTCATATCCTGTATTAAAAATATACATTTGAATAGAAACAGTGAAATATCTCTCGATTCGGCGGATTTGTCAAATCCGTATATACCTTTTCAGTCTTCATCACTAGAATCTTATTATGAGCCTAAAAGAAAGAATCCGAAAAAAAAAAAAGGAAAAAAGAATAATGTAGTTGGTGAGATCTGATAAATATGCATATCTTTATTTAAAATTATATCTTGAATTTTTTTATTTATACTATTCAAATAATTATTATAGCCAGTCTTGATTGTCATCCCACCACAGAAAAGGATCAACCATCAAAAAATACCAGCAATAATAAAAAGAAAAAATTAAAGAAAAAAAATAGTGCCCATAATTGTGAAGGTATGTTCGGATTGAAACTTTTTTTAAATATGTAATTGTTCATTTCTTTGATTAATAACGTTATTACGCGTAAGTAGATCAGAAATTTCACCATGAAATATTAAGGGCCGAGCTAAAGCCCAAGGAAAGTCTAGTTGAGATTATCAAACGAGATCTCAAGTTTAGACCGAATTATTATTCACTTAATAAACAACCTCTAAAGAATGACGAGTCTAAGTGCGTTGCCATGAAACTTCCTCTGGAGATTCTTGTAATGATAGCAGAAAATTCAACCGCAGAAACTTTGTTAGCCTTAACATTGACGTGTCAAAAATGGTACAACTGGCTTACTGAGATCGATAGTACTTACATTGGCCGGGTTTGGTGCAGATCCAGAAATAATTCTCATTCAGATCGGAAAGGGTCCAAGGCTGGAAAATGTGAATTAATTTACACCATTCAAAAGATGAAACCAAAGCCATCATGGCTTCACGAATGTGACATGTGCTACAAAAAATCTAACATTTTGACATGGAACTTTAGAGGCAGTCTAATCAATACTTGTTACAGTTGCAAGAAGATGTACGAAGTTAAAACAAATGATAAGGAAATATATTAAAAACTTTCAAAACTTAACTTTTGAATTTTGTTTAATTGTTGATGTGGAAGTTTTTAATATGATTATTTTTAAGTTTAATTTTGGTTGTTTGCTTGATTCATGGAAGTTATTTTTGAATTAGGATTTGAAGTTTCAAACGGCTGCACGCGTTATTTATGAAAATGGATAAGTTTTCTTTTAAGCTTTTTTCCAAAGGACTTTGTTTTTCCGAGATTTTATTTAATTTGTTAACCAAAACATTTCTTTTATCTCCTCCTAAACAATATACTTTTGAAGGCAAGATTAACGATATTAATGTTTGGTGTTAAATTATTATTTATAATATTATTACTAAATATTTTAAATTCTTGTTAGGTAATTATCTTCAGTCATTATTCTTCCATACCGATAATATGTTGTATAATAAGTAAGTGCAACCCAATGTAAGATTAGTTAGAAAGTCGTAAAATATATTTTTTCTTTTGAATTTTTGATCACGAATTCACGAGATCTGTATTGATTTCAGTTCTTTGCAAAGTATTGGCGTGCTTCTCGACAGTGGTACGTTGTCCGATCAAACGGTTTATTTAAGTCTCGAAATCTCGAAGAATATAAAAAAACCCCCGCAAAATTTAAATATAAATAGCATCCGTTCTAACAACAAAAAAAAAATTTTTTTTTTCATCTCTAAAATTCAGAATATAATTTATCAAGTAAACAAATATGGTAAATAAACGATTTTATTGAGATATTATAAATCAAGTCTGATAAAATAGAGGAAATGTTCTTTCAAAAGTTGGTAATAATATTGGAGAAAAATAGAATCATCTCTTATTTAGAAATAATCATAACCTTTGTTCCTAAATCAACAAGAATTAGTAATAGAACTTGTATGCTAAACACTTTTGAAGCAATTATTATTATTTTTTTTTTTTGACAAGAATGAACGTAGCACTTGGTAGCACTTGTTAACATGACATAGCAAGTTATGACTTTTCAATTCTACTTCAATTATTCAGTAATCCCGAACAAGGGTATGTAATTTCTTACGGACACGAAAAACGGATGTATTTTTAAATATTAATGTTTGGTCTTCATATCACTTTGTGGCATTTACCATTTCGTAAAGAACCAATTAAGTGGAAGTAAGATGAGTTTATACAATTGATAATAATCATCCTTTATTTTGAATTTAAATAATAATATAAAACTTCAACGAAAAACAAATTGTAATTATTGAAAATTTGCAATCGTATTGCTATTGAAGCTGTTGCGGTATACATCTCTCTTTTTTATAAAATTATGCGGAAATTCAAATCTAAAAGAAAATAAAAGTTTTATTTAAGGATCTGACCAAAACAAAAAAAAATCGACTTTTTTTTGTCACCTACCCATTCAAGAGGTCCAGAATCACGCACATTTTCTTGAGTGACATGACCAACTTCTCGATCTTTATATAGAAAGAGTCTGTATTAGTTGGATCAATTTCGAAATACAATTCGCAATCATCGCAGCTTTTGTGAATCATATTTTGTTGAATTTCTGATCTTCCATTTAAGGATCTCAGACGACGATATTGTAAAGTACCAAAATTAAATTCAGCCAGAGTGGCCCCATTGTCGTAGTGAAAGGAAATTTTGACTTCACGTTGTCTAGTGTCATCGTGAATCAAACCAATCAATTGTGCGAAATTATCATCCTCTATGTTGATAACGAAGGATTTTCGTAAAGATTCATACTCCACATCTAGCCCTCTTGTTGATAATTGGCTAGCGTCGTACTTTTTTTTTTAAAAAATAAAAAAATAAATAAATAAATAAATAAATCGGTTGGTTAATTTTTATTTTATCATCATTTTTCTTTTTTTCTTTTTGGGGGAAAGCAAAAAAAGGGGGTCCATTATTTACTTCAATACACAGCTTCTTAAGCCGGTTTTCGGCTTCTTTACGAATAACCTTATTAATTGATTCATTCCATCTTTTATCTACCGTACGGATGGAATACATAAATCTAAAACTAAAAAAAAAGGTATATATATATATATATATTTATATTTTTGGAATTTGAAATTTGAAATTTGAAATTTAAAATTCAACTTCCATTAAGGAATGGATTTAAACCAACCTTGTTTCTTTTAATATAATTTTAAAGAATTCATCAGGTAACCCATTACGCAAAAGTTGCGCCATAAATGAAAGGTAAAAGGTAAAAACAAAAATCAATTTTGAGGATGTTAAAAAGATCAAATTTATCTGGTACGTATGTTGCGTCTATGAGGCCCAAAAAAGCTTATCCAAGATCTTTTTATCTTATCATCATGATGCTTGCAAAACGGAATAAAAACCTGTTAAAAAGTTGTTATGATAGATAACGAATTTTATGTCGTACGCAATTTTGTAAGATCTTTAAAACTAAGTGTGCTAAAAATAAAAGGTAACGTATAAAAAAAAACAAAAATGGAACTCTAATCGATTCGTTGTGATCAATGTAATTGTTTTTACAATGTTTAATATATTTCATATTTTTTGTTGGGGAGAAATGTAAATAAGAATTCAAATCTTAAGAGATTCAGATCTTTTTTTAAAAAAAAATCAGACGAAAGATATAAAAAGTTCGAAAAAGTCTGGGATGCACTAATCCCTCATTGAATTCTTTCCTTTATAATAATTTCCAAAAATTAACTTCGAAAAACGTAGTGACGACCCACATAATACAGTATTAGGTAATACTTATTTTATCGCGTATTACATTATTGCAACTAAAACCGTTTTATCAATTCATGCCACGTGCACATGGTTGATACTAGTTTGAGGGTGATCTCATCTTTTTATTGAATACGGTAATTTTCAAAAAAAAATCAAAAAAATTTTTTATCTTGCACACGACGAAAGAACAATATAAAACAATTTGAAACATTAAAAAAATTTTTCATCTGCAATTTGATTTTAAAGCTTTTCGATTTACAGTATTATCTCCTTAAAAAAAGATTAAATCAAGTTTTGCATTATGTTTTTATTTTGAATTGTTAATGAATTAAGGAATTAAGGATGATAAAATTCACAAATGAACGAGAAAAGATACAATCTTAATTGCGTTCCAAAACTATTGACTATAAGAAGTTAACAACTCCTCCGTAAGAAGTTTCTTTACTAATTTCTTCAAATAATAAAACGGCTCATAAAAATATCAAAAAAAAAAATTTTTTTTTTGCGTCGGCGAACCAATTAGCCTCAAACAAATCAATTTCATTACATATAGTCTGCGTGCAGCTCTGTCCTTTCACAAATCGAAGTTCGTGTTCGATTTGAATGATTAGATACTGAACCGAATTTTTACGAACTACCATACATTAACCATTAACCATATGATCATTATTGTTGTTGCACGATAAAAAATCGCTTTTACAAGAGAATTCATATGAAATTTGTTGTGCTTCATTTATAACATTCCTTTAATGTCAACTTGTGTCCTCTACTCGATGAATAATGGTAAAAGGTCTTTCTATTGTCTCAGTATTTTCTAGTTGACATAATCAACTACATCAGATGAACCTTAATAAGCCTTATCCACAGTAATCTAATTGACAATGGTAAATAATAATAATAATAATAATAATTAATAAATTTTTTTTTTTTTTTTTTATAATCACAAGCAGATGAATTGAAATGAGTTAAGGTTTTTTTTTTTAATAGAACATATAAATTCCATTTTCGAGAACAGCCCGAGGTATATATAATCAACTCTCTCTCCCTCTTTTTTTATTTATACCATAATCCAATATCAAACTTCATTTTTTATGACTGTCACAAACAAGAAATTATGATTCAAAATCACTTTGATATTTCCATAATGTTTTATTGGAAACTTTTCTCATAACGAACATATATGCTCATTGATTTCCATTACGACGACAACACATATTTAGTTGGGCTTAATTTTGGTACTTTAGGATCTTATAAAGGAGGAAATTCGATTGAATATAAATGCATTTTTACGAGGGATGCAAATAATCCGATTCCTTTGCTATAAAGTTCGATCTTTGGTAATATGTTGATCACTTGGGTGAGTAAGTTAAAAATAAAAATTATTTTTCTTACATTTATTTTAAATTAACATAATATTTTCTTTTTACTTTTTGGGGGCAATAAAAGAATCAATAAACAAAATCAAAATAACGTATACAATCTATATGCTTTCTTAGTTAGGATTATCATATGTAATACGTCTAAGGTTCAAATAAAATAAATAAAATTTTTTTTTTAATCCTCAACAAAAAAAAAAAGCAAAAGCAATTTGGTTCAATGAAACTTGGTTACGAATTAATTTTTTTTTTACAACGAAAAAAAAAAGTACGATAGCTCAAATATGGAAGGATTTTCGAAGCCTTTTTCAAAAATTCTCAGAAATTTTAGAGCCGTAATTCACCGAGTTCAACTTTTTGTTTCAAATTTTTGTTTCAAATTTTTTTTTAAATTTTTAAAGGTTTTAAAAGTACATGAATTCACTCTTTATGCTTTTTTAGGATGATTTTATTTGTCAATTCATTTATAGACAATAAAAACGTTCGAATTCCTTAACCTTTTTTTTTATTGAGTAGATAAAATGTTACCGGTTTCAAAAGTTTTTGAATTTTATCCAATGTGGCTCAACCACGAATTGGTGAAATTATTTGGGAATTATACTTTGAACATATGATAGTGTGTAACAGAAAACGGTAATCTTTATAAAAATGGCATTTTTTTTTAGAGATTTTAAGATGTTTAAAGAAATTTTTTAATCAATGGAGCCATTCAAGTACATCAAGCCGATGACCCTTTCGAAGACTTCGATACCTAACGAAATATTGATAATGATTTTTAAAGCTCTATTGAGTGAGTCAAGGTTGGTTTGACGCTACATTCGTTTTGTTTTTCTCATTATAAAACAAACTTAACCACTTGATTCCCTTAGCTTTGAATTCATGAAATTATTAAGGATATGCTGCAAAACATGGAACGACCTAATTAAACTTGTTCTTAACGAAGAAGTAAGGATGCAGGATAATAAAGCAGTTGAATATCGAGGTAAATAACAAACCTGAACTGAAAAAATAGAAGAAATATAATTATATTTATATTCACATATATATATATATATTGTTAAAAATAAAAAATCAGTATAATTGTAATGAATACTCAATAAAGAATGCATCCGCAAGTTATGATAATTCGCAAGATACCTACGATATTCTTATAAACGATGATAAGTTTGAACAATGGATTGGATTGATTCCCTCAACTTGGAAAGTCAAAAATAAAGAACTTATAATTAGGCTCCATGGCTCCATTACGACTATGGATCATTCGTATCCGAATATTGTTTCGGATATTTAAAGTTTTGGAAAGAAACGAATTCGGATGATGGGAGAAGCATAATTAGAATCGAAAATGATTGGAAGCACTATCATTGTGTAGATTATTTGCCTATTAATCATTCTGATTTTTTGGTCTTAGATATAAAAAAATTAACGATTCCTTTAAAGATTATCGTTATGTACTGGATATTTGATTATTTGGATGGGTAAGTGATCATATGGGAGCTTTGCTATTAAAAATGGGTTCCGGGGACTTTTAACAAAAAATGAGATTTTTGATTCATATTATAGTATACTAAATGAACTTTATTTGGTTAAATTTTTAGAGTCTATTAGCTTATTAAAGCAAGCAATTAAGGCTGGTAACATTATTCAAAAATTTAAAATTAGGTTCCGAGACTATAAATTGATTTTGAGTTAAATGATGATCAAAAAATAGTTACGCCACAATAAACCACTTTTAATAGCAAAGCTCCCATATTTCATATCATTAAATATATATATCATCATAAATTAAAATCTCTCAAATACTTACATACAGCAAAACCGGATTGCAGATCCATCTCTTTTACTTTAATACACGTGAAAATTTTGTTGGCTCTTTCTTTCATATTAAATTTTTTTTATTAGAATAGTAACTTTCTTTGGTCAAAGTAATATCAACCAGGTAACACAGATTAACTATTCCTAATTGTGAGGATTAACTTATTTACTTATCATAATCTAATATCAAAAGAAAAAAAAAGACCATGATGATTCAAATCCACCTTTGCTATTCTAACTTTGGTATAAAGTTTCTTACAATATCATGCATTAATATTCATTACGATGGTGGAACATATCTAGCTGAATTTAATTTTGGTACTTTAAGATTTATAAAGAATGAATTCAAAATCCGAATTATTGAAATGTATTTTTACGAGGGATATGAATAATCCTGATTTTTTTGCTTAAATTGTAACTTTCTTTAAAGATGTGTGTTATTGATGGGTAAGCGATAATAATTCATAAAAAAAAATGTTTTTTGATTTAAAATAAAAATAAACTACTGTACATTTGCTTGAGAAATCAAATATAGAATAGTTATAAATCAACGCTCAATTAAACTCTCTTAGTTTACATTAAATATTAAGTAGTTTATCTTTTTAATCTGCCTCAGCAAAGATTTTTTTTTTTAAAAAAAAAAAATATAAATAAAATAGCTTCAAACAAATATCGTTTGCATATGCAAATAGTTGAATTTCATCGTTTTTTTTTTGATAATTTGAGAGGTATATGTGTAGATGGTTAGGTAGAGGGTTGGGTAGGTAGATGATAACTTGGTAGATATTTTGGAGAAAATAGAGGTTTCGTCGCTTTTGGCCAAACGACAAAATTTTAAAGACCTCGTAACGGATGGGTTTTTATGTCAAAAAAAAAATCTTTTTTTTTGCATTTTGCATGAATTTGATTGGTATTCTTTTTTTTTTTTTGAAAATTAAAGTTCATCGATAAAAAGCACGTTGAAATTTTTAAATACGGAATAAACTTTCTCTCGCACTTACTTGATAAGATGTAAAGCTTTTCTTATCTTCATTATCCGGAATGATTGTAGAACCTTTTTTTTTATTTTGAAAAACTATATAATATAAAAAGAAGTGTCCATTTTTTATCACGTGAATAAATAAATGTAACTGGCAAAAATTTAAATATATATATTTTTTAAAATTATTCTCCCTTCAACATCCATTATTTTAATCAGTCCGTCCTCCTTTGATGTTAATTCAATAATTATTCACAAATAATTAAGAAAATATGGATTTTTTTTTTTCCAAGAATTATTATCCATTGGGAGAATGAAAATTTCTCCTGTCGTGTAAGTGTCACTCATGACTTTTCGCATAAGATTTTGATGATCATGTGACCGGAAACTTCGTTTACTTATTTCCCGGTCGCATGATCAAAAATCATATGCGAACATTATTTATGATAGGTAATCATGAGTGACACGCTCCTACGGAATACACATTTATTTCATGGGGAGGGAATACCATATTATCCTAACTCACCATGAAATAAATAATACTAGTGTATGAGCGAATTTCGAATTCGAAAGGTTTTATAAAAAATTTTATCGATATTAAATGACAAAAATGTTTATTATTGTTAATGGTTTCAATTAACATTGATTGAAACAAGGTTTAAAGAAATTCTCTAATTTTAAAATTTTCACGCTTTAAAAAATACAAATATCAAATTATTCAATTATATGAATTTCCAAGCTACGTAATAGCGAATTATTCAAAACAAATTTATATCACGATGACAAATTCGTACAATCAATCTTGTCAAACGTAGTGATGACACGAGTTTGTTGTTACCAATGTGAAGTGAAATCATGCAAAAATTTTAAAATTTTAGGAAGGTGTAATATATTATTAATATGTGATTTACGATATATTAACCATGTCAAATATATAAGATATATCATACGTATCATACATGTTAAATATGATATTATATTTATTATAATTATCTAATATTATTATAATAATATATCTCTTAATACTATAATAACTTTTAAATTATTAATTTCAGTTTTATTATAAATTTATATATATATATATATTTATATATATTTAATAATTACAGTAATGTAATTATTTTAACAAATAATTTAATATTTTTGATATATAATTTAAATATTTATTCTAAAAATATTTATAAACCAAATTTAAAAAAAGTAATAGTAAAATATTTTATCAAATTTATATATAAAAAAATCCTTTTAAATATTTTTATCTTTAATATTATATACTGTATATTTTATTTATTTATTTCTAATTTTTTATGACAATTTCAAATAAATGTTTTATAGTAAAAAAAAAACTATTAAAATAAATTAATATTTAATATTTTATTAAAAAGTATAATATCAATATAAAATATAAAATATTAAAATGATTTAATATAAATTTTATATTATAATAATTTTCTTTTTATAATTGATTTCGATTTATAAAAAAGTTAATAATTTAAATATAGATATACTTTCCTTTAAAGCTGTAAGTATAATTATATAATTTAATATCAATTATATTAATTATTATATTTATTTATTAATTTATGTATAATAAATAATTATCATAAGCATTAAACATTTACCTATTTAAATTATTTTATGTAATTTGAAATGTAATATAAAGTTTTGCCATTTTAAGTTACATAAAAATACATTTTCAACAAGTAATTGTTAACTATTAACTACATTTTTCATAAATTGTAACTATTTGTGAACAATTAGTACTCCATTTTTAGATAAATACTAAAGACACTGAACCTTTTTCTGAACAGGCATTCCAAATATCCCAGCTCACCGGTATAAATGAGATCAGTAAAAGGAAATTTGGATGATTGTTAGGAAGGAACAAAGAAATACTAAAATTTTGAACACAAGGAAGGGTACGTGAAAAGATTTTCTGGTAAAAATTAAATTTTATATGCTAACCTAAACCCACCCGTTCTTAATAAAAGCAAGTACTATTGCTGAAATGAGTGAAATTAGATCGAAGATACTTTTATTACTTATTGATAAGTTCAAAATATGGATATTCAATAATTTACATCATAAATTGCTATATATATGATTTATTTTAGAGAAATTTAAGTTCAAGTAAATTTAAATACGAAGACCATAATTTATTCTTTTAAGTTTACCTTTTAATTGTTTAAAATTTCTTTTATTTAGGTTCTAGAATCATTAATAAAATACTTTTGATAACGAAATTAAAAGTTAAAAAATTATTATGTAAATATTAGAATGATGTGGCTATTGTCTGTCTCTCATGAATTATTCCACCACATTTTTCGTTTCTCATACTTGAAAGCTTGAACTTCCTTGATATGGTTAATATATGTCACAGTTGCTAAGGTTATACAAAAATATTTGATGCAGTTAATGGTTCAGATGCCGCACTATTATTCTATACAAAGCTTATTTTACCGAGTTGATCAGCAAAAAAAATTTTTTGATGGTTATAATAACGCATATACATTATTCCATCATACGGATTATCTAGGGCCGATAAATCTTGACATTATAAACAGGTTAAAAAAGTTAGAAGGTTTTAAAATTAATTAAATTAATTAAATTTATAAATTAATTAGAGAACTTTTTAATCATTTTTATTAGGCAGAATAGATTTATGGAGCCATGATGAAACATAAAATATTTTTTTTATTTATCAAATGAGAAGGAAAAAATGGAAATTTCATTAATGCTTTAAAATCGAAAATGGAGGACTGAAAGATTCGAATATTATCAATTAAGGTAACCTTCATTGAAGTATAAATTACACTTACATTTTTTATTATAAAATAAACAAACAACGTGTGTCTATTAATCGATCATTCTCAAAGAATTGGTGATTTATAAACAGATATTGCGCCACGTCCTTAACTTTATGCCGAATATGTATTATGATGCAATGATTTTTACCGGGAGACTTTTTCCACTTTCCTAATTACGTTTAGAAAAAAAAGTAGGTGTGAATATGACGCAGTAAATTCAAAGTTTATCGTTTCAAATTTTCAATTTTTAAAATCCATCCTTCTTAGGATTGGTGCTTCAGAGTAGTACAATATAATTGGTGTTTTAAAAGAACAAATCAGGAAATTACTTTAGTGTTACATTTAACGCATAATTTTGCTTTCTCGAATATTTATTGTTTTTTTTTTACGGTAAATGTTATTATTCGTAAATGCGTTATATCATGATATTATATAAAAGCAAATTAATTAGCTATAATTTTTTTTTCTTTGGAGTTATTTCTTGAAATACTCTTTTTTTATGCGAAGATTCAAAAAGTAAGTTTGGCTATTGATTGCGATTAAATTAACATGGGAGAGAGAGTTTTGGTTTCCCTGGTTATTTGGTGTTTTTATTCTGAGAATTCTTGGAACTTTTAATAGATTTTAGATCTTAAAAAAACTTACCGTGGAAATCTCGAAAGGATTGGAAATTCATTTCAACCTTTTCGTTTTAAAAAATAAGAATCCTTGATAGTGCTCCTTATTATATATATAGTAAAGGGATTTTTATTATAGCCTATTAAAGTTTCTGCGTTATATACAAATTACAAATCCTTACGGGACAAAAAGCGCGCAAATTATAAATATGATATTTTCATAACTAACATAATGTAAATTTCTCTTTGATATATAGGATTAGCAGTGTTGGCCATTGACTAACTGGGTTCATAAATTACGCTATTAGACCCATCGTACGTAACTACAAAGGCGTCAACAAATAACAAATAAAAAAATATAAAAGTAAAAATAAAGTAATATATATATATATATATATAAATTAAGAAACACCAACCTTTTAAATAACCCAAATACATTTCTGGTTGTTTAAAAGCTTTAAGAATTCAACATATATATGCTTTTTCTCCTCTATTCCCCCCCGAAATAATTTTCTTCTCTTTTCTTTTTTTTTTTAAAAAAAAAAAAAGATTTAATAATGGATATTACAGTAGAAATATGCTTCTTAATATTTAGTATTGCATTTTCAATTTTAGCATTTATATTTTTATTATACCAATGTATAATAAGTTTTACAAGGGTACGACTTGCTTGGTAAGCGAATATATTTTTTTAAATTATCTAATTCGAATTATTATTATTTGCTAATAAGGTTACTCCCTTCCGGAAATTCTTCAGTTTATTATCAATATCATCAATAATTCTACTCAGTTTAAGTAATTTCTATAATTTCTATTGGGCACAAGATCCTGTATCGAGGAAAGTGTATTGGGTATTATTTGCAGTGATCAGAGACATATACACCACCATTTTAGTTGTATGTATGTTAGATATGGGCAGAAAATTTTATAAATATCGTTGGAATACTACACTTTTTAAGGTTACAATAATAGAATTGATTATTTACGATTGTGTAAATATTGCTGATATTGTTTTAATCTATTTGCAACATCTTAATTTATCATATTTTCCTTTATTTATTTGTCAGGTATGTATTTATTTTTTTATTTTTTTATTTTCCAACAAAAAAAGTGAAACTAATTAGTGTTACTTTATTTCTCCCAACAAATACTCTTTTGTTTTATTTTCTTTTTATAGTTGATATTAGGAGTTATAACAACAACATCATCGTTTCTTTATGCATTTTTACCTGTATTATTGTTACATATAAACAAGCCATCTCCAATGCTTAAAACGAGCAATAACATAAGTGCACAATCAGCGGCAGTGGGTACATGGTATATGGGCGTAACTGGTATATTATCAATAAGTTATTTGACACTTTATTTGATTACTTTTGTTTTTACGGATGAATTAAATTTTAGTCCTATCGGTAATGCGTTTGATTCTATATTGAGAACGAGCATCTCCTTAGCTATTGCCTTACCTCCTCCTAGTAAAATTATCCACATTATGAAGTTAAAAATTGTTGGTAGGATGTCAACTTACGTTACCCCTAACGATCTTGAAGATAATCGTAAAGTTTTAAATCCTGTTAGTGAAGATTTTGAATAAAAATTTAACAATTTTATATTGTTATAAATGATTAAAAATAAATATATACATTTCAGTCTTGAAAGTTATTTTATTACTAATGATTTGATCATTCATTTTAAAAGTAATAAGTAATATTTATTTCATGCCAAAACCATAAAGCTATTTTAATGCAATTCATTTATCTAACCTTCTTGCTATTTTCGGTTCATAATTTCTTGTTAGATTATTCATCAAAACATTATTATTTCAAGTACATTTAAAACTTAAAGGATATTAAAATTCTATTTTAAATTTTACATAAAATGTTTATCGTTTGCTATCAATCGTTGAAAAACTCTTTCCAATACAGCGAATGCCTCCTCATTTAACCCAAGAAATATTGCGTTCCGGCATACCTAAAGAAGAAATTGTTAATTTTTTTAAAAAAAAAAAAATAATTTCAACACGAGAATCGTATTATATGACTGACTCACTTGATCGAAATTTTTGGACGTTATTGTGTCCATCCACGCTTCATCATCGTGATTATACAACCAAGTTAAAATCGGTTCAATCGTGGAAATTGAAGGTATAGGAATAATGATTCGTGTTACATGTCTTCCACAAGGTATTGGACGAACACATATTGTTGTTGAAAGATAATGAAATATCTTTGAAAATAATTCACTTTGTGGAGATAAATATTGTTGTTGTACGACAATTTCTAATGTCCCCGAATTTGTTTGTTGTTCCAAAGATTTTTCATAAGTATTCTGTTCATCATCATCATTAATAAATTGTTCTTTTAAAAGTTCATCAAATTCTTTCTCTTCGTCAAAAGATGAGATCCATATTGGTTTATCGTCGGCAAATGAATATTTTCTATTCCAATCAGTAAAACTTAATAAGCGTACAATAGTACATTTATGAAAAATTGTAGAACCAAGTAATGTCATTTGACTAAGAAGTTGATAAAATGTTGATACTGCTAATTCTGTTGGAAAATCTACTTCGACAATTTCATTTATATGATCGCTTGGCAATTTTGGCATATTATTTGTAACAGATTGAATCAACGAAACAAACAAAGTGGAAATCGTCACGTCTTCAGTTGGTGGTGATGATAATACTTCATTTATTATACAAGAGTCATGAATAAACATTTCATTATCGTCTAAAGACATCGGAATATAATCTACAAACTTAACAGGATCATTAATCAACTCTGATTCGTTTTCCGGAAAATCAAATTTCTTATCTAAAAAAATTTTTATCAAAACGAATTACATCAAATCATTATAGAAGATATATCTATCATACATAATTAAGAAGAATTGAATTTGACGAAAAGAGTTCACGTTTTATAGATTTTTTTTTTTTTTTAAAAAATAATAACAATAATAAGATGATTATTAATTATTATTATTAAAATACTGACCATTGTTTTGTTTCGTTTCTTCCAATTTGTGCGAATCATGTTTTTTCGTTTTAAAAGAAGAAGCAAGTTTTGAATAATGAAATGGAAAAACCATGTGGAAATGCAGTTGAAAATTTTCACAAATCAAAAAAGAAAACAAAAATAAATATAAAAAACCATATATTAAACAGAACGTCATTAAAGTTTGAATTGATTTATAGTTACAATATACTAAACTTATAAAAGAATAAACTTTTCTTAAAAAAAAAAAACCGACAAATTGAATGAGGAAAAAAGGAAATTTAAATCTTTGAATATATCAACCGGTGTAATTAATTACAGTACTCTATTAGAAAGTTTATCGAATTAATTTTTGTCGAAGTATCTATATTTTTTGCTGTATTACGTCACTACAAGCCATTAAAAATTTATTCTTCAGAAAGGTATATAATACCCTCTTTTAGTCGCCTTTTCTAAACTATGGAGGTTCAGTCTGCGAAGTTCGAGCTTAATACTTTGAAGATCAAAGGTCTAACGATAATAAAAGATTTGTAAATGAAATGTTGATGACAGAAACTTAATTGTAGGCAACCTTGGTAAGCTATGCGATACCATAGAACATGTAACTGGCAACGGAACGTCACTGAAGATCTCTTGAGTTTTGCGGATAAATTATTAAAAAAGTTGGAAAATACGTATTTCAAAAAAGCAGTACAAAAGGAGTTAGGTGCAAATGTATGGTTCAATGTACAATATGCTGTTTTAAACTACGCTGTTTCGGAACAAGAATATATTTTACAGTTGGAAGAGGTTTTAAGGGGTGTTAATACGTCACTCAAAGACTTCGAACTGTTGACATTAATGAAAATTAAAGGTAATGAGGAATTTCATGGGAATGAACTTGAAACTCAAGCACGTGCAAAAGAAAGACTTCAGATTACCCGTGAAGTTACAGTATAATTATTATTCGGCCCCCTGATTATTATAAATTCTTTACTATCATAATTATCATTTACTTTATTTTTTCTTTTACAATAATTTTAATGTTATATAATACACACGGGCGCAAATGTTGCTAAATCAATTTATATAAAAAATGAACAATAAACAAGAATTAAAAAAATATATATATAAACAGAAAGTAACAACAGAATGAATTTATTGAAAACTTTAGTAAATTTAATTTCGTTATCATTTATCCTTTTATAAAGTCTTTATCCGCTATGCACATTTAATTATACGAGTATATATAAATATTAAAACTATTACATTCAACTTCGCGATTATAAATTGTTCTTTTAAAATACTAGTAAATAGGATAATATAATATTTTTAAAGTAAATATTATATAATTAATAGCTTAAATTGTAATATCACGATCATAGTTTAAATAAACTCTCTCCAGGACAAATTCCTCCACGGCCAAAGTATAATAATCATATACGGCCGAGTAATTATTTAAAGAACCATTAGAAAAACTTTTTTATTTGGGACAGACAAGAATGAAATTTTTTCTCATCAATAATTTTCTTGCCTAATATTTTAAATAATACTTATCTCTAATTTATTTGCAACCTATTAGGAACATCATATGACCAGAACATTAATCGAAAATATACGCAACGCAGATGTGAAAGAAGTTACTGCCTCTGCCGGTAATACAATCAAACTCATTTTATATTATGTGCTGAATTATGTATTTAACCTTTTCTATATGTTGCGGAATTAGTAGGTTTGAAGCGTAAGTCTTCCTATCCACATGAAGACGAAAGAAAAAAAACTATAGCTATGGATAACAGTGATAATCCTGAAGATACATTTTTTTCTGGTGTATCTTACAGGAGAGACCGTCCCAATTAAGGCAAATAGTTACACAATTTAATAAATTTTTTTAATACATTTTACAGTACTTTTTTGAGTGGTTTGCGTAACCTATCTCCGCATGAAAACCTGAACAAATGCATTAAGCAAACTTGAAGCATTCGCATCTTACTGCAATATATTTTTTAATCCTCATTAATCCCACACCTTTACATTGCTATTTACATATTAAAGACATGTCCAGGACAAAGAAATGTGTAAAATGCCAAACTACTAATTCGTCTAAATTTCGTTCATTAAAGGGAGAAAAGTGGAAAGAAGCTGAAAGTAAAGACTTAATAAAGGTAATGTGGGAGGAAGGTATTGTTTTATGTAATGTATGTTATATGCATTTTGTGGAAAATCCTCTAAAAAAAAGTCCTAAGCGAGTAAAAATCACGAACGAAAACATCACATATGAGGAAGAGGAAGAAGAGGTGAGTATAAATATCGATAATATCGATTTCTTTGAAGCAATCAAAAAAATGGCAAATATCCTTTACAAAAGAGAACATTCAAATAAAGAAGAGCCGATATATACATTCGACAAAATGCGAAGAACATTTCAAGATCTTGAACCAAGTCTGAAGGATTTCTTTGACCACCTTTATTTGGCAGCTTGGCCGCTTGAATGTAACGAGCAAATGATGAACCGCATGAAGAAACTGATGGTTTTAATTTATCATTTACTTTCTTCACTGTATAATACGAAAATTAATTCGTTCAAATTTGACCTTGAATTTTATTTAGATTCAGTAGGTACGAGCAATGAAGGTTTGAATACAATGGCTAATCTTGGCGTGTCTACAACGTCGAGATCAATAGATCGCAAAAAGAAAAAAATTTCCAATGCACACGGAGAATATGTAGAGAAAGCCCTTGCAAAATATCCAGAAACTTCGTTTGTTCTGAACATAGATGATTATCATAATATTCATGTTCAGAGACGACCGATACTACCAGTACGTCTTGGGTGACGTATATGGCAATGATCATAGTGAATCCGTGTCCAATATCTGCAATACCATGAAATGGAGCAATCAATCCAAAGATCGTTAATAGTGAATTGATTACAAAACATCTTGAAGCATGATTTATCGTAAACCTTAGTGTTTCATATCATGACCGTAGGCATGATAGTATAGAAAAAAGGTGCCCTGATAATGAGGTTATAGACAGACTATTAGTACACAGCTATAATGATAGATTAACAGGGAAAAAGGGCAATCGACATATACAGAACGTTATTCTTTTCGATTTTGTTGAAAACAACTTGAAAGGCATAGGAGGATATATGAATGCTCTACAAATCATTTATAACTAAGACCCGATGCAGTAATATCTTTCCAACCATGCTATTCTTATCGTTGCAGATTGGCCTGGACAATTCTACATTCGTAAGGCTATTGCGCAATTGCTTCTCATCAACAACGAAACCATTCCTAATTTTGTTATATCCTTTTTGCCTATAATGGGTCCTCTTCACATGTCTTTAAATGCTCGTGAGCTTGTATTTTTACAGAATTCGTTTTTTTTCAACGATATCTACAAAAGTATATTTGGCGCAAACAAGAATGTTGGTAAGAAACCATGACCATGGAGAATCGACTTAATTCTCCATATCGTGCGCATAGCATGGGGTGATATAGCTGAGGTTGTCTATTCAAAAATCGGTCATACGAGCAAGAATATTGAGTTTCTTTATTTGACAGATCTACTGAACAATCTAGTTCCTTTAGCTCTTGACGTTTATGTGGTTCACCATCGAAGAGGCGATTGGCCTGCTTACGAAGAAGCTTGTATGCGTTGCTGAAGCGATCTTTTCCTTTGATTTGATCAGAGGAATTACAAACATGCCTCATTAATGTTTTTTTCTGATGTTTTTTATTGGATGGAGATTAATCATCCAATAATTAACATGATTACTAATAATCTTGATTCTCTAAGTGATTGTCCTGTCGTAACCGTCCACAGCATTATACGATGACATACTGCTAAGTTTTTCACAGCTTAACAACTGCAGAAAGAGGCATATTTCATTTTTCAGCAGCGAGATGATAATGCGTTCCAACATCATTTCATAAATGCTGTTAAATATTCATATACACCAAAGCAGTTAAATACACTTTCCCAGAAGTGTGCTATAGAGCTTTTAAACATATTTATGAAATACCAAACGCGTCATATGTATCCTTTGATTATTAAATCTTCATCTGATGGTATTAACACATATAAATTGCCTTCTTTAGATTATGAAGTGACCGATCGTCACCTTCCACGAGGCTTTGTCACCTCTAAAAAACCCAATACTACCATTCTTTGCGATTATTTGTATTGTGAATATGCTAACTATTTGATTGATGGTATTGTTCTTGCATGTGGGCATGGTTATCATAACCATTGTCTACAAAAATGTCAATTTAAATGTTTGATATGTTTAGGATATCTTCAAGGCGAAGTTAAGAAAAATGTCGATGCTCTTATAACAA